TTGATTTGGATAACATGTATGTGGTGCCACACAATCGCTTTCCAAGCTCCTGGGGAACTAAATATTTTTCAATCTGGCATCAAATGTGGCACTGGTTATTTCTTGAAATCCAGTTCCAAGCATAATCGCTTCTATATCCATGTTAGTCACAATAGTTTTCAAGAATATTGAGAATTAATTTTATTCTAAGTTTCTCGAAAAACATATGTTTGTTAAATGTTAAACATTTAATTGTGCATTTTTTTAACGCTGGAGATCTAATAAAAGATCATGAATACTGGACAAGGCCAGATAACATGAAAACACCACAAATTGTACCACTGATAGATCAAAATAAAAGATCATGAATGCTGGACAAGGCCTGTTTGGCCTCAGTACGTTAGCATATTTATCAATATGATGGTAATATGACTGCTAGCAATTCATGAAACCTATGACTATTTCTCAGGTCCTTTTTAATTTGTGGAGTAATCTCTTGAATGTTGCTTAACTTTGGTGCACTAATATTTTTAGATTGTTTTAGATATCTGTTTGATAGAAAAACTTATCATCATTATGCTTAATTGAGAAACTTGTTGTTATTTTCTCCAGATGTGTGAAACAGTACAAAAGAGAGTTGCTTTTTCCCTCTTTATTTTCTTTCCTTTTACTTGTGATATGCAGAAGTACAAAATTTTTATATATAGTAGTCATTAGACAAAATTCTCCTAACTAACCTTTTAAAGGCAAAGTTACATCATTCTTTCTCCTTCTCTTTATCTTCTTACAAACATATACAAGAATATCTTGGTTTGCAGAGTCAATTTACTACAAGCCAGCATGACATTTTATTGTAGCTACTTCGGAAATACTTATGTATAGTCCAATTCTTGATTTGTATAGGTACTAAAAGTATTACTTTTTATTCTAAAATTATGTTACTTTTAGGTGTTCTTTGTGAATCTCTTTTCTTTTTTGGCTTGCATCATTACTATTACTAAGTAAAACAGTACAAAAGAGGGTTGCCCTTTTTTTTCTTTTTAATCTGTAGAAGCAGTACAAAAATATTATAGCATTCATTAGACATACTTCTCCTAATTAACTTTTTGAAGCAAATTTGTTGTGTTTTAACTCCTCTTTGATAATGGTTTTCCTTAGCTTAGCTTTTCATCTTGCAACTTAAGGACTGATAATAGAAATGAAATCTATACAGGGATTAAGATTGTACTGCTATTATTACGAAACGCCTAACCGTAAGAAAGGGGCGAAGTTCAAAGGTTTGAAGCTACATGGAGATATCATTATTCTTCAAACATTAAATACTTATAGGAGCTGTTTGACTTAAAATCTTCTATTGTTTTACGCCTCTTAATTTATCATTGTTCTAACTTCTAACATAAGTATTCAATAATTAATAGTGAATGATAGTTGAAACAGAGTANAAGTATTCGATCTATAACATTTAAGAATTTAACTTCCTGGTAAAAGCTTATGTTTACTTTTTTCTTTTGATTTTCTTTTTTCTCCTGCAAGAGGAATTGCTTATTATGATATACATTTGATCATGTAGGCTATAACTATACATTCCTTATTTAAGATATTGTGGTTGTAGCAGTAATTACTGACTTCTATTAAAGCAATTCATTTGCTTCATGTTTTTAGTATTTCAAATAGACGAGGGTGATGTAAATCTTATATTCTAGACTAGATTGCAAATGTAGTCTTATAGTATTTGTCCTTTAATCACGTTTTTTGCTTTCTACAAATTGCAGAGTATTTCTTCCAAACAAGTACTATTCTTTCAGCGTTAGTCGATATCCTTGATGAAGAAATGATCGGAAAGACAATTGTCAATATTGGATAATTAACTAGAGATTCATCTTCTCCGGTAAATTACATCTATTCTTTGATATTGAATAGCCTCCATATGCCACTAGCAGCTTTTTTGGTTACAAGATTCAGAACATACTATATCCTTCAATACAACAGACTATAATTAAGTAGTTCTTATCCAATTTAACCTCCTGATAATTGAGGTTCTTGAAAACTCTATTGATGGTAATTCAAGTAAGTTGGTCGATTTATTGATCAACTAATGTAGAAGCATACTTTAACTCCTTATGGATTAGTAGGAGTATTTTTTTGGTCTCTGTTTTTTTTTTTGCCAGGTAGCTTATTAAAAGTTAGTGGCAAGTCATTGGATAAATTAGCAAAGCTAAATAAGTTAGTTGATTTTTCGCGTTACCAAAAAATTAAATTTTTTTATCATTATTATTATTATTATTATTATTATTATTATTATTATTATTATTACTATTATTATTACTTATAACTCATAATGAGGAATAAATATTTTACCAATCAAAAAGAAAATCAAATATTTCATGCTCAGGCCTTCTTTTAAAGAGCCGCTTGGGATCGGTCGGTGGCCCTTGGTAATAATAAATATTTGTCTTTTATTTTAATTATTTTGGTCGCAATTGCTAAAATTAATTTGCAATATGCATATGTTTTTATTATCTCTCTTTGCTCTTTTTTTCTTTGAATCGATCCGTGCATCGCGCGGGTACGTACACTAGTATTATATTAAAAGGAGAGTAGTATGTATTGTGGCTAAGCCAAGTGACAAGCTAAATGAAAGCCACTTGGTAATTTAGGACAACATTAATAATTAGAAATTATATATAGAAACATAATTAATGGAAGTAGTTTAATGAATCTTATACATATTCTAAATAGATCTTAGACAAATCTAATCTATATATCTATAATTAAATTTATATGTATATGTATATCTATATCTATATCTATATTTATATATTGATCTACTCATAGATTGTTTTCTATATTAGCTAGAAATATGGAGGTGAAAAATTAATTAAAAATTATAATAAAAAAATAAAAATATTATAAAGACATAAATTGAGATAACCTATAACTATTTATACTTTGGAGTAAGTTAAAATATAGAATAAAAATAAAATTATTAAGATATTAAGGATTTATTGAGTTTAAAAATTAAATAAATTCAAGCAACAAAATAAAATCTTACATAAAGTATACAAATTATTTATAAGGTAAGAGAAAAATTAAATAATCAACAAAAGATATTTTAATAACAAGAATAATAAATTCGTATTAATATTGATAAATCGTGCAAACGAATATTTTATTCGTAAATATTACTACAATACTTAGATATAATGTGTTCGTACAATTAAGAAAAATATTTTTCTATGATTATATTTGAATTAAGTTTAAGTTCAGTTAGTTTAAATTTGAAAGCATAACATAATTTTTTTTAAAATATGGTCCAATTAAAAAAATAGAATGATAAAAATTATTTGAATTGGAGATGAGAAAGTTTTTAAATTTTTATCTATATTATATTAGAGTGAGTGTGGCAAAAATAAATACTAAATTCAAACAGGCTAATAAAAATTCATATGATAATGTAATAATATTAGGTATTGAATAATATAAAATCAAAAATAGCGAATAAATAGAGAAAAAATAAAAATTCAGATTTTTTATCAAAGGAAAAAGGGTCAAACTTATTTAAATTTCAGATGAGAATTTTTTTTATATTATACTAAGAAAAGGCATAATATAAGTCCACATAACTCAAGTCTAATAGTTAAAATCAAAAACTAAAAAAATTGAATAATAAAAATAAATTAGAGATAATGTAAGGACATTTATAGATCATAAGTTTAGAAAATAAAATAAAATAAATATGCAATACTTAAAAATATTATTAAATTTTAAATAATTTAAAATTTTCGAGCAATGTTTTTGAAACAAAATAAATATTTATTTCGTAATTAAAAAATTATATATTTATCTTATATTATTAAAGAAAAGTAGTTGATAATGATATTAAATAAATTTACAAGTTAATGAAAAGCCACATAAAATGTAATAAGACTATATATTAGATTAAAAAAAATAGCAAAATTATGTTAAATATTAGAATTAAAAGAAAAGGCTATTTGAATTTGAGATTAGAAAGTTCTTAAAACTATGATGCGAATGTTNTTTAAATAATTAAATATTATGAATAAGAGGATAAAAGCATAAAAAATATACCAAATTTCAAGAATAAAATATTTATTTTTATTAAATACTATTAAAAGGATAAAAAGTAAGACATTAATTTATTTATAAGCTAATAAACAAATTATATGATAGTATAATAATATTAAATATTAAATAATATAATAACTATAAGAAAAGAACAACAAAAAAAAAGAATTTATGTAAAAGTGATGTGATGAATAAGATATATTTGACTTCCAGATAAAAATAAAGTGATAATAAGAATTTTGTTAAGATAATATGATCTAATGTGCTCGAACATGATAGATCACAATATGATATGTTTAGTATTCTTTAATATCGACAGCGGAACAAAATACAAGTACTAAAATCAAGGGGTTAGGTTGCTACAAATATATACGAAAAAGATTGGTTGTTCACTACGAGATTTGAACAATAATTTCAGATCATGTTTCATAATTAAATTCTCATGTTATATATTTTTTATCTGAGAGGTTTATATTTTAAGGTTATTTGTACATGATTCAAACAACCTACATCGCAATTTGAAATAATTTGTCCGCGCATCGCACGAGTACTGATACTAGTTTTAATCTATAAAGAATGCAATCAAACTATATTAGTGTTCCATATATTTGAGTATTGACAAGTGAGGATTGCTCCTCCACCCACGACTGTAAGGTCCTGAGTTCGAGTCACGTCGGAAGAAAGTGTGAAAATACTGTAGATCCTTCTAAATTGGAAGAGAATCTATCTATCTATATAGAATAGGAGAAGTAAAATGATATTATTATGCCAAGTGTCAAAACATATATTAAACATGTGTCCAATTTTAGGACAAACCTCCAACTACTTTGGAGGTTAAAAAATAATTTAAAATAGAAATTTAAATATATGCTAATGCAGTTGAACATCTGATTTAAATATATATATTTTTATTTTTTAAAGGAAGTTCACAAGGTTTAAAACTTCCATCTCTGTTCTGCGTTTTTTAAAATTTGTTAAAAGAAGTTCAAAACGTTTAAAACTTCCATGTTTGTTGTCCGAGTTTTTCTTTAATTTGTTTATAGAAGTTCACAAACTTTAAAACATCCAATTTAGTATACATCTACTTTGACTCCCACGTTTGTTGGTATCTTCTTTTTTTTTTTTTAATTTGTTAAACCTAAAAATATTTAAAAAAAAGTGTTAAGCATCCAATCTTTAGATATGAAGCAGACGAAACTGTTGGCTCTCATAGCACACTCAAACATAAATCTTGAGTTACTACAATTTATGTGTTGTATTTGCCCATTTGGGTTTGATGTCAAAGGTCCATTTCTCTCCGCCCCCCAGGTATGAGAATCAGGATTTACTGCTAATTCTGCGCCTATATGTGGATAAACCTTAAACTCAATTCAATGATTTACATTGGTGCATTGGAATTTTCTTTTGTGTACTTCACATACTTTTCACCGCTAATTAAATGTAGGACTTCAAGTAGATAGTCGTTATCTTGACGCAGATGAAATTTTCCTTCCTTGAAAGCGAAATTATCGATCTATACATTTTAGCTAACTGGTATCTACCATGTACAAAGTTTACAGACATGTTGATCAATGTATACCAGCAATTTAAAAATCATAGCAATCCTAATTTTGAAATCGTCTTTGTTTCGTCTGATGAAAATTTGGATGCATTTAACACTTATTGATCCTTTTTGTGTTAAATTTAAAACCTTAATTTCCAAATTTGGTATCTATCATCACAATTTGGCTTTGATTGGTGTTTGAAAGGTTTTTCTGAATTTGTCGTTTTTAGGAAAGGGATTTTGTATTATATTTTAATATATAATGAAGTTTGTGAAGGATAAGAAAAGGGAAAAATATGAGCTTGCGAAAGATATAGGATTAGGGAATGGTGTGGCAAGACTTACGAGGCACAAGGAGACCAAAGAGCTTGTGCTATGAAATACATTGAGAGAGGACACAAGGTTTGCATTATTATTGTCATCAAATCGATTAATTGATCTAAGCGTCTTCCAAGTAATATAAATTTCTTATTATTATTGTTGTTGCACATTTTCCTAATTATCAGTTAGACATATATACAATTAGCAATATCATGTAATGTTCTATGAAGTTGAGATGTCACCTTTTATTGTAGATTTATGATCAATGTAGCAAGGGTTATCATTAATAATAAATCACTTCGACATCCAAACATAATTCGCTTCAAGAAGGCAAGTTTTTGTGCTTATGTTTTATTATCCTGCAATGTCGTATTGATAATATTGGTTTGTTTTGAAAATGGCAAGAAAAACTAAGGAATAGCTGGCCTAATTGTTGCACATTTATTTTGTGAGATACAGGTGTTAGTGACACCCACTAATCTTGCCATTGTTATGGAATATACAGCTGATGAAGAACTGTTTGAGCGCATTTGCAATGCAGGAAGGTTTAGCGAAGATGACGTATATTTTAAAATTTTAACTTTGTTAGTAATCAGTCTCACATAGACTACCATATAGAAGGATTCTGAAGAATAAAGAAATGGTAATGATGTCTGTGATTTTAAAAAGTCATATTTTTATGATTTTAAGAGCCTTGGTTCACTATATTTAATGTTTCTCTTATCTGGTTTCTTCATGTTATTATTTTAGGCCAGTTACTTTTTCCAGCAACTTATTTAAGGAGTCCACTACTATCACAACATGGAGAGAAATTTACAAGAATTTACCAACAAAAAAAACTTTCTTTATGTGTGATCATATGAACAGAAATTTAGATACATCTTAGGCCTGGATTTGTGTTTATAAGTTTTATTTCAAATGCCATCTTGTTAGTTTAAAGGAGCTTAATCTTCTTCAATCTTCCATTATGTCTGCAACAAATATGTCATAGAGATTTAAAGCTGGAGAATACCCTTCTTGATGGAAGTCCAGCTCCACGCTTGAAGATATGTGATTTTGAATACTCAAAGGTTAATGATGTTCTGGTGATTTATATATATAGACTTATTATCCCCCTAAGAAAGCCTCATAGTTTTCTTTTTGCAATTGCAGTCGTCCCTGTTGCGTTCGAGGCCAAAATTACTCCTGAGGTCCTATCCAGAAGAGAATATGATGGCAAGGTATCCATGTAATAACTTATGTGATCTTTTACATTTGATGGAGGAGCATTATGCAAATAATTGTAATTTTGATATATGTTGGGGGTTGCTATTGTAGGTTGTTGCTTGTACAAAGCCTTTTCTGGTGTCCCAAAATGTGAAAAATTGGCCTTGCCAAACTCTTCAAATCTGATGTTTGGTAATACTAAGCCATTATTTCCTTGGAATTATGATGAAGTACATTGCTTTTGTACTAGAGCATAAGTATTTCACCAGTAAGAGTCATGACTGCAAACATGAAGCAAGGATCTGCCCATATTTCATCACAAGGTAAACCCACAGTGGAAGGAGCATTAGCAGAAGGCATATTCTGACAAAAACCTGGGATCGCTTTTGCATCCACTTTGACCTGCTTGAGTTCGAGAAATCATGCAACTCATTTGACCTTCTCTTCATACAGACAACCGGATTGTGAAACTGTACCATGTCACCAGTTTGAGGCTGCATTTAAGATAATTATATTTTTCAACAAAAGTGATTTTGATCCTTAAGAAGCTTTGGAATTTCTCACACCTTTATACTATTACTTCTCATTTCTCGGGCGGAATTGTGGTTATTATATAAAGTTGTACTCCCAATTGATAACTTAGTTGGTGGGAGCATCCATCGTAAGTATGTTTTACTCCTGCATAGGCTTCATATTGTGGGAGTTAACTAATTAATGTGTTGCTTGGTTGATCAGATTATATCTTAGAACAAAAAATGACCAATCATCTAAGGTTGCATTTCTTATGAATGTTGTCCTCACTAGCTATTTACAATAAGATATTTCTTCATGACTTGAATGTATGAATATTCAGTGCCTTTATATATTCATAAAATAATACCATTTGCAACTTTTGTGTCTACCGTACTTTTCAAATAATATTTTCTTATAAAAATTATAGTTAATATTTCTGCGCAACGCGCAGGTACGGATACTAGTTTAAAAAGAAAAAAGAAAAAAAAAATGAGTTACGAGGGGGGTATTTAGCTTTTATTGCTTCATTATGAAAGAGGGATTTTAAAGACAAGGGAAAGTAAAAAGGAAAAAAAGACACCTCCGCCTTCATAAACTTTTGAAAATATCAAACTTTTGGCTCTCTTTCAATGATATTTTGCAGTAAATTGTTTTTAGTTTTCACTTTGTAGATCCCTTTTCTAAGTGGCAGGGTGGCTCACTAAGACAGAAGTGGAGGGAAAGCATTAGACGTGGGTTCGAACGAATCTAATAGTTTTTGTTTAATTTTTATATTTGTATATGAAAATGATGATGTCCATCTCATTGAAGAAGTATTAGGCATGTGCCTAATAAGAGTTTTCTTTGGTTTGGTAGCCAACCTTGTTGACTTGGTTTGGTTGGTAGCCAACCTTGTTGAATTAGTTTGGTTTGGTAGCCAACCTTGTTGAATTTCTTTGGTTTGGTAGCCAACTTTGTTGAATTGTGAAAAGTGTGTGTAAATTGTCAAATATTGTAGGCTTTAGAGGGTGAAGCTTTGGCTATAAAAGGAGAGCTTCAACTCTCATTTCTACACACCAACAAAGAGAGAAAGAAAGAGTAAGGTTTCACAGACAAGGTATAAGAAAATAGTCTGTGAGGAAAATAGAGAGTGAGCGATATTGTAGTGAGGTGGGAATATCAAAAGAGGGTTATTTCTTTTGAGTGTTGTAGTGGTCTTTGGAGTATTTACCTCCGACCTACAAAGTTGTAAAATTCCTTACTATAGTGATATCAGTTGCTCCTCTCGGGGTCGTGGTTTTTTTTTCCCTTATTCAGAAGGGTTTTCCACGTAAAAAATTTTGGTGTCATTGTTACTCTTTTATTCTTGTTAATTACCGTATCTCGGTGCTACATTATTATTCCGCTTTATTACCGTGAATATTATTTTGGTAAGGGGTTTATTCCCAACAGAAAATTCATAAAATGTATATAAGTATTTAATAGTGAACCCAATAACTAAGATAAACTATGAGTTCGATGATAAATTTAAATTCTAACTCCACCGCTAAATTGAGATAGTTAGTTTGAAATAATGGAGATTTATATTATATTTGAATCAGAAACACTTTCTTTGTATAAGTTTACATCCCCCATGTAATCAACAGGACCTTGCCGTCAGTACCTTAACCACATAGGCATCAACATTGACTCTTACTGCACTGTGTGCCATGCAGCGGAGGAATCCATCCCACATACTCCTTAAATGCCCTATGGTTTGTCCACTATGGAGCTGGAAACTAGGCATCCACACCCAAAATATCTACGAGTGCCAAAAATAGAATGGCCTCATCTTTTTCCTTTCCCGATTTGGGGGTATTTGGATTAATAGAAACAAAAACAATTCCAATAACACAAACTACTCCCCTTTGTTTAGCACCATCTTCAGTCATGCTTTGGAATTTCTTTTTCTTAGCTCTAAAGGCGCACCATTACAAACCAAAATGTTGCTCCATATGCGATGGCATGCTCCTCAAAGAAATTGGTTCAAGCTTAATACTAATGGCGCCTATAAAAAACATCCAAATGGTATAGGATTAGAAGGAGTCTTCAAGGATCACACTGGTAGATGGATCCTTGGCTTTCAAAAAAAATATGTTGCTAATTCACCGTTACATGTTGAATTGCAAGCAATCTACCAAGGTTTACAAATTGCCACAAAATTCGATCTATTACCCCTGGAAGTGGAAATAGATTCAACAGAGGCTATCAACGCACTAAATCATGATCATGTTGTTTTCTCTAACATTGTTTATGCGTACAGATCATTAATGCCCCATCAGAAGGCCCTCCTCCTTCGGCATAACTTATGCGAAAGAAACAAAGTGGCTCATCTACTAGCTAAGGATGCCACCAATGAACAGTACAAGCAGTTAAATCCAGAAGTCTCAAAACTCCATGCAGGTCCACCTTATTTTGGGATGCAACAGCTAACATCAGAACAAAGTGGAGAATGCCTTTTTGTTAAATCGTTACCGACTACTTTTGTAATATGCTTAGGACAGTAGGAAATCAAAATATCGCATGTGATATTTCACTGACGAGTGGCAATTTCACTATGACTTGTAACAATCAAAACTACTACTAGTATTAATATAAATATTCCGTTACACTACTAGAATTCTGAAAAAAAGCGATCAAAGTTGGCTTGTCAAGAAAAATGACCAAAGTTGATTGCTAAAATGGCGAAAATAATAAAATAATTATTTGATATACATTAGCGACCAAGGTTGGTCACTACTTGGTCGCTAATTTCGTCAAAATATTGACCGGACTGGTCAGACTTGCTTGGTCAAAGGTATACTGAGATTAGCGACCAACGTTGGTAGCTACAGGGGGACCCACTTATAAAATTATAATAATTATAATATTATTTAAAAAATTATAAAATATAAAAAAATATAATTCAAATTTAGCGACCAAAGTTGGTCGCTTGCAAAAATAGAGACCAACTTTGGTCGCTAATCTGGGACCCAGTTCTAACGTTTAACAATTATATTATTATTTTAAATATTATATAAAATATAAATAAATCTGATTTAAATTTAGCGACCAA